CGTCTATTACGTCGAACATGGTTTCTCAACACTCCCGCTGTGCCGCTTCCTGGCTGCTGACGGCTTACATGCAAGCTTCGAGGGAGTCGCGCTGCTGGCACAGCACAAGAGGGTGCAGCTGCGATGGACGTCGACGGCATGGAGATCGGCATCAATCGCTTGCACGGACAACTCCAGTGCCAAGCCCTCTCAACAACAAGGAGCCGAGCGACACACAGAGTCATCCAGGCCACCAGCAGTGACGATGTCGCCACTACCACCAGCGAGGCCAGCGAGCCAGCGAGTTCCACCAGTGAGTCAGAGATCGGCGGCAACGACTTGCACGGCAAACTCCAGTTCAAAACCCGCTCAACAACAGGGAGCCGAGGGACACGAAGAGCCATCCAGGGTACCAGCAGTGACGACGTCGCCACTCCCACCAGCGAGGCCTTACAACACCAGGCGGACGAATGCGGCGAAGACCAAGGCGGCGGCTTCCAAATGACACGGGGAAACAAAACATACGGGCAGTCTTAAACACACATGGTCCCGCTCATTTCGATCGATTAGGAAAATCATTGAAGAGCGGGTGCAATACGAAAAACACGCGGAACAACTAACCAAATATCTATCTCACGAAATTGTACCTAAGGGCCTCCGCCTAGCCTGCAACCCCTCAATGTCTACACTAAGTGAAGCAGAAAGGGGGAAGTGGGAAAAAATATTACTAGAAGCGTCCTTGCAACTGACTCGGGTCATTGCGGACCATAGTGAGCGTAAGGCCGCCGAATACAGTGTCACGGAGGCCACGCCGAAATTGGTATCTAATCTCGGAGAGCATGAGGCAAGAGAACTGCAAAGATATGAACTAAAGAAGAGAGGCGAAATTTCAGTAGTAAAAGAATGAAAATTCAAGCGGGACACAGTAGCTCCACTGCTCTGCTACAGGAAAATAGGAATGAGGCCGTACAAGAACGCCAGGGACCACCCGTACCACAACCTAACTTTGAGGAGAAAAATGGGAACTCGAAACTACAGTGCAATCCTAATCAAAACATCCTTACTCTCGAATATGACGCTCACACTCCCGTGCCACGCGATAGCCAAGAGCAGCCGAAAACTTATGAGAAAAATGTCCTCAATCTGTCAAACACAACACCCACACCCACTCAGCTTCAACTTTTGTCGAGAGGCTTAACCTTTTGTCCATCATCCGGTAGATTCAATGAATTTGAACTGTACCAAGACCTCGATAACTTTGCACGTAATCTCCGCCTCCCTGAATACTTTCATGATCGCAAGGACTGTACGTACGAGAATAGAAGGATTGGTGGTGACAAATCATGGTGTCCGGGTGAGCAGAGGGACAAACACCTCGATATGTATATATCAACAGTTCAAAAAGATATCATCAGAGCGTATGAAAAAAATCGGCCATTTTGAAACAACATATCAAAGTCAGAACGAAGGGCACTCGATGAACTACGAAAAAACACTGGAATTACTATCAAACCGGCTGATAAAGGGGGCTGCATAGTAATTCTAAACACGTCGGACTACTTAAAGAAAGGGGAACGACAGCTATCAGACACAAAATTCTACAAAGAAATTCCAACTGACCCGACTCCCGAATTTGAAAGGGAGATAAAGGTAACCCTAAACAATCTCCGCCGGGACGAGAAAATTACCGGCAAAATGTTAAAAGCAATGTTACCGGCCCATTCTGTTCCCGGTCGATGCTATTTGCTCCCCAAAATACACAAGGCAGGTAATCCGGGACGCCCGATAGTATCCAGCAACAGCACATCAACAGAAAATATATCAGAATTCATCAATTCCTTAATAAAAAACATCCCCCCAAATTTTCCCTATTACCTAAAGGACACAAACCACTTCATCTGCGAAACTTCAAGTCTCGACATCCCAGGCGGCAGTTTTCTGGTGACCATGGGCGTCTGCTCACTGTACACCAACATACCTTACCATGACGGAATAGCGGCTATGGTTTCTGAATATGTAAAATCTGACTCATCAACTAGTGTAAGTGGCGAGGTACTGTTTACACTTCTTGAACTTGTACTAAATTATAACCATTTTGAGTTCAATGGCAAGCATTTTCTTCAGGTTAGTGGCACTGCAATGGGCACGAAAATGGCCCCCAACTTCGCGAGCACCTTTATGGCTTCACTTGAAATCCCATTCATTGAGGGACGCACCCTGAAACCTTTCTACTACAGAAGATACTTAGACAATATTTTTTTATGATATGGAACCATGATGAGGGAAGTCTTTTCCGCTTCATAGAAGAATTTAACAAGTGCCACCCGTCAATAAAATTCACGCACAAAATTTCCAAAACTAGCATTAACTTTTTGGACGTCACTGTCACTGTCGAAAATGACCGCTTGTCAACAAACCTTTACAAAAAGCATACAGACCGTCAAATGTACCTACATTTCCACAGCAGCCACCCAAAGCATTGCAAAACGGGTATTCCATATTCTCAGTCCTACCGGTACCGAAGAATATGCACCGATATGCGGGAATTTGACAGACACGCGGAAGACCGAAAGCATTCCTTACTGAAACAAAATTATCCGGAAGACATTATTGACGATGCCACACTACGTGCTCGGAACGTGAACAGGAATGATATAATTAAGGGACCAAACAGAGTATCTAAAACGACTTCCCAAACAAACCTTGTTCTAACTTACTCCTCATCAGCGCCACGAATCAACAACATACTGTCCCGCCATTTCAACATATTCAGGCAAAGCAAACGACTAACTTCTATCTTCGCGAAGCCGCCTCACGTGGTGTACCGCCACGTGAGGCGGCTCTACCGGTTCTATACTCTACCGATGAGCTACCATGGCGGCTGTCCCTCCAGCCACTTTATTGGGTTTATATGTAAATTTTAAGCTTGGGAGTGTCAGTCAGCGCCACCTGAAGCCATGGCGGCCAGTCATCAACATCCTCGAAGATGTCTCCATGGAACGGATTTGGTGTCTGTGGTGCATGGAAAACATTCGCGAGAAGAGAACCATGGGCATCGCTGGTTTGGACCGCCTGGCTTGTCATCGGAGTTGCCATCTTTCTAGGTGTCAACGCCAAGGGACCAAATTCATTTCAGGAAGTCACCCATGCAGGCGGTGGCTGCTTCTTGCTCTGGGAGATGTAGCTGTCTCCAAGAGTGCCGACACAGCCGAAGTATACGTACCCAGCGTCTCCACCATTAATGTCACGAGCAAAACAAGACCCACAGCCAGGGGTGTACCTGAACCAGCGCAACGGAAATGTTCTGTTATTTTTCTCAGCCCAAAACGAGTATGAACAACAGCGGCTCGTTCACCAATGGTGGCATGCGTCAATATATATATAATGTGTGTGTGTGTGTGTGGTGTAAAGATAACTATTGCTAACTCTTCCGTTCATGTGAGGAGCATCAAAAGTACTTTGTTGTGTCTGTGCTCTTCGTTTATGTTTCTGGGTGTGTGATTTACCCTGTAATAGTTTAATTTGCTTCCAAATTTTTGTTCATTATGGTACTATTTGCGGTAAAGTCACGACGGAAAATGATTAGCGTTAGTGACTGGTGGCCGGAGCGGCAAACTCGTGGTTATAAGTGCAGTTGTTCTTTAGCACGCCTATCACAAGAGTGTCCTCTGCCTAGCATGGTCCTTTTTCGTAAGCAGGAACGGCCGGGGGAAACTGATTTTTTCGGGGCCACTACGCTAAAGATATGATTGCTGAAAACTGTTTGCGAAGCAAAAGTTACTGCAGATTATTGATGTCAATGCTGACGATGGAATGAAGCTAGGTCTTAAAGTCCATATTGTCTACGTTGAAGTCTCCGACTAGAATAAAGATTGGATGGACGGACACACGAATGAACGAAGGAATGTATACGAATGTACGGACGGTGGACAGACAGATGCACGGACACAGTACGGTCTATTTCAAACCTATATGCGTGCTATGAAAGCTCAATGTGTGGCATATGTAACACATGTGCACGACGGGAGGCTACGATGAGGGCGGCGTCAATGGACATCAGGATTCCTAAGGAGTTTGGCTTCTATAAAAGAATGAAAAATAAATTGTATGCGTCGACCGATAAGGAATGCACAAGCGTTCGCGATGTGGGCTTCCGAATGAGCCAACAGCAAGACTGCAACGTACTTGCGGCCAGCCACCCCTGCTTTGGAAAATGGAGTGTGTTTGGTACTCTGGGTATCGGCGTGCTCGGGAGAAGAACCACGCACCGCAATTTTGCGAATGCGGCCACGAATCACTCGCGCTTTTTAAGGGCGAAACTCCTTAAGCCATGGGTCGTGCGTCCCTGTGGAATGTAGTAGTAGTAGTAGTAGTAGTAGTAGTAGTAGTAGTAGTAGTAGTAGTAGTAGTAGTAGTTGTTGTTGTTGTTGTTGTTGTTGTCACCTCTAGTTTAGTCAGCCCCGCCGCGGCAGTCTAGTGACTAAGGTATTAGGCGGCAGACCCGCAGGTTGCGGGATCGAATGCCGGCTGCGATGGCTGCATTTACGATGGAGGCGAAAATGTTGTAGGCCCGTGCGCTCAGATTTGGGTGCTCGTTAAAGAACCCCAGGTGGTCGAAATTTTCGGAGCCTTCCACTAGGGCGTATCTCATAATCATATGGTGGTTTCGAGACGTTAAACCTTACACATCAATCAATTATTCTCGTTTAGTTATTTGTATATGAATATATGATGAAAAGATGCGAGAAGGCGGTACTTGGAGCGTTCACTAGACGTATGGACAGACAGACAGACGGACGGATCTATGGACACACGGTCGGTAGCACGGACGGACTGGTGGATGCTTTGCCCCAATCATTCATAACTTACTCGGTGAATATGCTATGATTTTTTTTTTGTTGCAACTGTGCTTGAGCTCACAACCGTGATGGCTCAGTACATGAAACGTTTCTGTCGGATGCGCACAATTGATGTATTTTAGGAGAATAAGTGAGTAACCAAGATTCGTATCGTTTGTGGGATACTTCGCAAAGGCAGTTTATTGTGTCCTCTGGCGGTTCGACCTGGCCCGCTGCAGGTAGATCCGCGCTGACCAGACAATGACGAAAGCGAAAGAGGAGGCTCCCACGACGTGGAGAACACCATCGTACGTGCCGTGCTTGTCTCTGAAGCATCCTGGCAAAAGAAGAGCACATCAACAGCTGCAAAATGGCAGGCGCCATAGCTGTCGCTCTCGAGGCTCACGACTCTAGCACACTTATACAGCGTAGTGTCTTCGCGGACCTTGTGCTGGTCCGGGACTCGTTAAAGCAGGTCGTGTGACGTGAGAGGGGAAGGAAATCAAGTGATCGACCGTGGGCTGTAACTAAATGGGGAAGTGATTGAAAAAAAAAAAGCACTACGCGCAGATGGCATTTGCGGTCACAGGCGGTTTCCGACGTCGCAGACGAAGCTGTTCGAGAAACTCCCGCCAAAAGCGGGTGTTTCTTCGGCTCGCAGCTTGCGCCTGGCCACCCTGGCGCACATGAATTCTGAATCGGTGGTGTACTTGGACAATCGTCTGCTGTACGGGCGTTCGTACGATCTGTGCACTCCCCATGTGGAAGTCGTAAGTCGGCGCCGCCAAACTCGTCATGCGCCCGCCAGCCCATCGCGGGATGTTTTTTTTTTTTCGTTTACATCCCTCCTTCGCTTGCTTGACGGCTTTCCGTAGCAGAGAGGCGACGGGTGCGAGGCGGGGCTAATTACTTCCTTTTATTCTTTTTTCAATGATTACTCCGCTCAACCCGAAGGTGCAGCAGCAGTTGGGTCACATGTCGAGAAAAACACATCTTCATTGATACAGAACACTTGTCAATTTGAAAAGCGATTCCATTCGCTGATGGAATGAACAAAAACAGCTTTAACCGCAGTTTCTCTCGACGAGGTGAGAGTAATTCCCATCCTAGTTCATTTTTTATATTGGTACAAGTGTCATTTTTTGAGTACCGACTTAGGACAAACCTTGTAACTAACTCTATTTGGTATTTTTTCAAGTTTGTCACTTAAAGTACTTTGCCAGGGGTCCCACATGGCACAAGCGTATTCAAGCATATATAGGTCAAATGTATGTTGAATACGCCGTTGATTTCAAAGGGACACTAAACTCAAATAACAGTTTACGTTAGAGTAAAATCTCAATGTACGGTAACGTCTAAAACCACAACGTTATCAACACCAGTGCCCTACTTACCGAGAAATTAAGATAGATACATGATAACACATGCGCTACCCGTATACGACATTCGCAAAATGATCCCAATGACGTGAGAGGTACCGCCTAATATCAATCACTAGTAATCTAACTAGCTGCCCTAACTTTCTGTGCGTCAAGGGACACAATAAAATGCTGCTTGTTTGTTTTTATTTGATTAATATAAAAAGAACTGCAAGATATGGGAAATGGTGCAAGTGGTTCAAAAGTCGAAGTTTCGCCTGGTTATACTGAACAGGCCGTACCATCAAGTGGGGCCCAGTTAAACCAAGCAGGTCTGTCTTCTCGGAGGCCATTGCATGAAATTGTTCAATGGCCGTTGTTGCTGTTGCGGCTCCCACTGCTTTCTTCCTCCTGCTATAGTGTCGGCCGCCGCGCAGTAAAGCCGGGCAACGTCGCGCACGGCAACAGTGAGGTGAGATGTTCCGCTTGGGCGGGTAATTTGAAGTGCGCTAAACCGATGTGGACCCCAAAATGTAATTTTATTTCAAAATAAGCACTTCCTTGACACAAAAGTAACACTACGAGGTTTTTATACTGCTGTTTCAACAATCAACGTGGACTTAATAGTTGCCTTTACTGTCCCTTTAGGCATGCCGGTTGGTGTCTCAGGCTTCGCTGTATAAAGTTGAGAGATTTGGCGGTCTTCGCCAACGTTTATAGAACAGGGTCAGTTTTAAAACTCTCCGCCTGCGCCTAACCCACAACACGGCGCCCAATCTGCTTGCTGCACCAGGTCACGCCGCCCTCGCAACCGGCTCCCTGCAGCCGGCGAGGAAGCACGAACGAAAGCGGCGGTTGCTGCAGCTGCTACGGCCGTTGCGAGGGAAATCGCGATATACCGATCACCATGATCATAAATCCCTATTCACGTTTGTAAGCGGTGAATCTAGACACAGGTTACCGAAGCTGCGGCGCTCTATCGGCGACAACGATTGTGAAGTGGGCTCATGCATTTGCAAGGCCGAGAACTTGCTGGGCTAGTTGGTGAATAGTTGCCATGAGCTGAATCTCAACAAAATACGCGGACGATGAATACAGAGTAAACAAGACCGGCGCCTGTGATGTATACTCTGCATTCATCGTCGGTGTTTGCACTTCAAATCATGGCAAATTTGCAAGGCCGCGGTTTTATGTGTGAACCTCCGAATTCGTTTACTGCATTGTCTGCCGCTTCCTATAATATAATTTAGGTTTCTTGCTGAGGCGGCTGCATGTTTAAACCGCTGAACCTAGAAATAAATGCACGCAGCAAACATTTTCAGTTCGAGAACTAAAACAGTGGATGCTTTCCATTGACAAGACACGCGCATCAGCAGCTTCGCGCGGTGGATGAGGCAGAGCGGGGAGCAAAGCAGCAGACGATCGCAGGCTGCCACATAATACCATGTCACCTACAAAAAAAAAAACCTATTTACAACAGCATTTATAAGACTTCAAGAGCTATTTACAGGAGGCGAGTGGCAGCCTCTTCGGGGCCAAAAAGGCTACCCCGCAAAAATTTCATGGTAACGATGCACTAAAGCTATTTTACAACAGTATTTACAAGCCAGCAAGAGCTATTCACAGGAGGCGAGGATCAGCTTACTTGCCATGAAGGCTACCTCATAATAATATCACGGCAACAATGCTCAAAAGCTATTTACATCGGCATTTACAAGCAAGACCTATTTACAAAAGGCGAGCCTTCTTCCTCGCATTTTTTTACTTTTTCGCTGACCGGGCTCCTCTCAGCAAGAAATCGAATGTAGAAATGCATGCGCATTGTCAAGTAGAATTTCACTATGCGAACCCAGGAATTCCTCGTAGTGCACATTACAACCGACCCTTGCAAGTGTCAAATCTGAGATGATGTCAACTATCTTCCAAAACAAGTTTCCGAAGACCTTTTGTGTTTTGGTTTCCGCCTCTACAACTGAGTCAACGGCACCCAGCAGCTCGGTTGGTGATTTTGATGGGTGCTTCAAGGCTCCAGGCACAAATGATTTAGCTTCGGTGAGAACAGACGCGGCAGGCACGCTCTGTGTGTCTGTAATCACTGCCCTACACTGGACACATTCAGAAAGCTACAAAGCTTTCTTCACAACATATCCAGCAAGGTAGTACAAAACAGCGTCTTTGGGTGTGGCGCGGCTGTAGGAGTGTTCAGTTGCACCTTCAGGACATTCTTCAAGGTTGACCGAAGCAAGAAGACTCTGAAGTTTCTCATTTCTGGCTTCTTTCTCCAACAAGGCTGACATCTTCATCTTGCTCAATGTCTCCTCCAGAGAAATGAGGATCGGATTGCCTTCACCTGTGCAGTTTCCCTTTGTGGCCATTTTGAGAGGCGTATGCAAGCTGAGGAAGCGGAAGACTTGGTTGAAGTTAGTAATGGTGGGGTGGTCCTCGTTACCGCCGAATGTTCGCACAACACCAAAGAAAAGCTCATTCAGTGTGCTGCCGGCCGAAACATTTGAAGAGCCTGCACACACCCTTAGTTGGTCAACGTTCTGCAACAGGCTCACCAACTGAGTAATGGTGTTGACACGGCTGCACGATTTCACAATGCAACCGCGGGTGCTGACAGTCACTGCTCCTAATTCACCGATTATTACACACTTTTCGACAAAAAGCATTTCGCCCTCCACTTTCTGAACAAAGAAAGCGACGTAACTTCCACCGTCATTGCTGTCGACAATCTTTCTCCAGTTCGTTTATGGCAAACAAACTTCTGCCATCTCCGTCAACGTAAGCTTGCTACCTGCTGCCGGCACGCCTAAATCTGCCGCACTTTCTTCGACAACAGCACTAGCGCTTGTCTTCGCTTTCCTTGCAGACGAGGTCTGCGCAACAACCTGGTCTCGGCATGGCAATTTCCTTCTTCTTGCCGGGGTTTGGATAGATAAGGAGGCAAGTTCGGAAATATTTTTGGCCCCGCTCCTTCGACGAGGCTCCACTTTCCTCGCTCCGTTTCCACTTTCTCACCTTCGATGAAATGCGTCTACGTTTTCGCTATGTCATCAGGGTAAAAATGAACGTCGCACACGCGCGATTTGGATGAAAGGCTGCGGTCGAGACGGGGAATGGCACGGTCCCATGCTGCACGGAGACCGGGATCGCTTGGAGGCGAGAAGAAGTGCCTTGGGGTATTGTTTCCTCTGTAGCCGCTACAAGCAACCGGGGACGCAACACGTCGGCATGGCGCTTGCCGAACCATCTACAGGTGTAGCACGCGCACACACAAATAAAATATCATGAACTGAGTCGAAACGCTGGCCGAACGATCGTGGGTGTATCCGGAGGAACGTACTGACCGCCGTCAGGTGCCCCGAGCGAGAGCCGGGTGCGACTGCAGCGCCATCGATGCAGCTGAGAGCGGCGGCGCCGGGCAACACTTCCAAGTTTTAAAACTAACCTTGTTCTATAAACGTTGGTCTTCGCAACAGCTGAATCAATGTGTGAATTCCATGAACAGTCGGCTGAAAAAGTTACACCTCGATATTTATAATGCTGTTTTTGTGTCACTCTAATATTGCAGATTGCATACCCTGAACTAATTGTTTTTACGCGTAAAAGTAACATGAACGCATTTGTCGTCATTTAATGTCATTTTCCACGTTGAACACTATTCTCGAACGCGTGATAAGTCACTTTGCAGCAAGGCGGCATCACTTTCATTTCTAATTTTCCTGTACAAGACAGTCATTTTTCTTGTACAAGAGAGTCATCTGTAAACAACCGTATATTAGAATCAGTTCGTGAGCAAATGTTGTTTATTTATATTTAAAATAAATGTGGCCCTAGGACTGAGCCTTGTGACGCCCCTGAAGTGATGTTTACAAAAATTGATTTTCTGCCATTTATTATTACACACTATTGGTGGTCTGAGAGGTAATTTTTCATTCACACCAGAATTTCACGATGAATGCTTACCGCTGCAAAG